CATTCTTTTAAAATTTGTTAGGTGTCAAAATGTTACGCATTCACTATGTTTCACAACCAGGAAAGTGTCAAAACTTTCGTTTTAGACATTATTATTTATGTATATGTATTGAAAGAAGTTATTTCATGATCCAAAAATTGTCTTACTCGACTGTCACATCAAATCTATAATTCAGAAAGGTAATTGAGAAGTCACATTAGTGACAATGAAATGAACGATACGCAGGATTTTATTTCTCAACTTCGTGTTGTTGGAGTGTTCGTTATCTTAGTGTCATCCCGTGAATATGAAAATTTGATAAAACTCAACAAAATGTCTAGTCAACATAATGGGCGACACCAAAGGGTAGCATTGCAACCTGGAGACAGATATATTTAATTAGAATCATTGTACTACCAATAAACAATCCAACCCAATTTGAAAATTATCCCCGAACCAGTAGGCGTCTAATACTTAGTTTGAGTGTTAAGAGTTAATTTTCGTCGGAGCATAAAAAATAAAAGTGAGCACATGTTTACTGAAACTTCAAAATTTGAATTTTTTTTTCATTGATAAATAAAAATTGTGATTAGTTGTCTCAAATAGTCGATCTAGGATGAAAGATATATGATGACCACCATACGCCCTATCTGGATAAATACTCCAACTTCTGACATCAGTGTTGGAATGTTCTGCCATTAGACGGGTTCTTTGGATTATTTAGTAAAACTTGTTTGCGTGTCTAATTAATTTAACGATAACTAATTAATTTATTTCTTCAATGATGATTTCTTCAGGCTATGTTCTTGTAGGCCTAGGTTTAGAAATAGCGTTTGAACAGACATTTTGAGACTATTGGGATGCTTAGCTTACAAATAAACTTACTAATAAAGATACAAAATTATAAATAAGATTATATAATAATACCTAAATTGTGTATGAACATATAACAGTGCTAAATGCAATACAAAGAAAATAATAAGCTGAAAACAATATGTGATGTGTCTAAAACATTAACACTCTTACTTTAACTACCATTGTAGCAAACACATAGAGCTGGTTATAGGAAGAAATAAATGACACAAATCTTTTGTAAAAGAAAACCCAATAGGTCTCTAGAAAGTAGAAAGTTCAATAAAACTAATCATACTTACAAAGGAAATTTACAAAACGCATTAATGTGGCAAACAAAATAGTCATCAAAATGAAATGTAGCTATACTAATGATTTAATATCATACAATACTGAATTGTTATATATTTAATATTAACGATCTGTAATAATAACTTAAACTAACGGGAAAAGGGCCCGGCATGGCCAGGTGGTTAGGGTGCTCGACTCGCAATTTGCAGGTTCGAATCCCCGTCATACCAAACATGTTCGCCCTTTGAGCCATGGGGGCTTTATAATATGATGGTCAATCCCACTATTCGTTGGTAAAAGAGTAGCCCAAGAGTTGGCGGTGAGTGGTGATGACTAGCTGCCTTCCCTCTAGTCTTACACTGCTAAATTAGGGACGGCTAGCACAGATAGCCCTCGTGTAGCTTTGCGCGAAATCCATAACAAACAAACTAACTAACTAACGGGAAGTAAACCCAATGATGGTCATGCAATACAACAAAGCTGCTTATTATTATTTTAAATAATATCCCACAAAATTAAAGAATAGACGTGAAAGTGTTTTAAAGGTCGTGATGCTCTGTAAAACTTCTAAACCCATAATTTGTAGCAATAATGTTGTTGAATTTCCAATAGAATTGAATGAATTTTGTGTTTAGAATGTGCAGTGAGTTTATGAGCTCTATACAAAAAAGTTTGTAGCAACAAACATATTTATTTTATCTAATAAGATGAGAGTAATAAACATTGTACCATAACTTATTTGGAATATTTTTTGTGAGAATGGACAGCTTATAACTTCAAAGCTGAAAGTGTCTATTTCATTAAAAACTTTAAACTCCAATGTTCAGTTAATAAAGCTGATATATATTTCCAAATATTAAGCTTTATATCCAGCGGAAGAGCGTCTTAGAGTGGGCTATTGTGGATAGATTTGTTCGACATCTGGTAAACCTTATAATTAGGTGAATGAAGTGTAAAATTTTACTGTATAGCCTTTCTCACTATGCTTTGCAACGTATGAACTCTTCCGATACGGGGTCGGTCAATTTGACCGAGTCACGTGAACTTCTGTACTCGTTTAACGTTGACATAAAGTTAATACTTATAACTCTATTTATATATATATATATATATATATATATTGGGTATATCTTCACGAAATTTGGCAGTCTTTCAGTTAATATTACAAGTCTTTCACATGCAAAAAGTCATATTTTTTAGTGAAGTACTTTTAATAAAATAAAACAAAGTTTTGTCCAAAACATACTTAGAGGATCAGCTTTTACAGTGTAAGTCAACAGACTAAAATAATATGTGTTTTGTGTGCTTAAATGTAAACACAAATTTACAGTTTAAATAAAAATTACTAAAGGTATATAGTTTAATTTCGGTTTTAAGTTGACAGCATAATATGCAATATTTTGTGAAATGTAAGGGGGACAAATGCCTCCTATTGCCCCTTCCTGCGGGCGCCCACGTTCTAGTCTGAATAAATACAAATCTGCAATTTATGGACTGAAGTTAACACCCACTGAAATTCTCTATATCTGTTGGAAGACATGCTGGCTAAGTTTCACAAATGCATTATCATTACTTGTTTGGTGAATTTAGTTTATATTTGGAAACTCCCGGAATTTAGGATATCAAGGATACCAGTGAGCATATGATCTATAGGAGAACAGACGTGAGGAGTCAAGTTATTTCATATTTGGAGGATAAAGTCTTGAATAAATCTTCAAGGTTATGTTATCTAACACTCTATCTTTAATAATAAAAGGGCATGTCTGTGGGTCTGCGTGTCTTTCTGCTATAACTTAAAGAGGAAAGAACCTAGAAACCTGAAATTTTGCACCCATACTAAGTGGATCCTGAGGGTGTGCACCTGGGTATTATTACTTATCCAAGTGCGTGCGCGCGTGTGCATCTTTCTGTGAAGTAAGCAAGCGAAAAACCATATAGAAAAGAATATGTGACTGCATTAACTCCAAGAGAAAAAACCTAGAAACTTTAAATTTTGCAGCCATAATAAGTGGACCCTGAGGGTGTGCACCTGGGTTATTATTACTTATCTTATCCACATGCGTGCCCGCATGCACGTCTTTTTAATGAGACAAGCTAAAGAAAAACCACAAAGAAAAGAAGTGGTTCCTTATATAACAACTTCTAATACATAGAAAAGCCAGTGTATTTTGGTAATAGTGTGTTCCAACAATGGCTTTTATATCATGTCGCTTAGCACGACATATTGTTGTTACACTGAAAGAATAAAATGAAATGTATAAATTACAAAACTGAAAAAAATATTTGTTGATTTCTTAATTTAGAGTCTCCTTTGATAAAAGAGGTTTGCTTGTTTTTATTAAAAACGTTGGTGATATAACAGAAAATACCTTAATTAATTTCAAACTTAATTTTAAGTTTAAAATCAAGTGTGACGTGACATGACCCACACTGGCTTTTATATAGGTTAGTTGACGTGACGTATAGTGGCACCTATAATTATCAATAACATAGTAATCTAGAATATATCAACCTAATAACCCGTGCGAAGCCAAGTACTTTCGCTAGTTATAAATAGATGTTACTGCCACTGGCCCTCTTGCAAGAATAGCTAATAGTTGAGAATTCAATTACGCATGTGTTAGGTAATAAATGTTGCATAAAAATGTTTCTGACAAATTGTAATTAAATTAGATAAATGTTTCTTGCAATAAATGAAATTACAAGGTAAACCTTATCCCCGCGTTCATTAGTTGTTGTTGTTTATGTTGAAGTGGTGAAAAAGAGTAATAGCTGGTCTCCATTGCTCACGAAACTTGATGACACATTTATTTATGTCATTTAGACAAAGGCTAATGCAGGCTCTAGTATCTCTCGTTTAAGCAAGACTAACACAGCTCATTTACATACTGTGGTTAACAATGATAATCCTGCGTCTAACACTAATAATTTGATGCCTGGTTCTAAGTTGGTCAACATTTATACACCTATAACTCTTCTCATCCACGTTATTGAAAGTATTCCATGTTTAAAAAGTACTTTCATAGAAATTCCTTAACGTGTTACCACATAATACGTAACAACACATTTTAGGCTACAGTACAAACAAATAATTCATAGTAATTAATAATGGTCTTCCAGATTTACACTGTGTCGGATATACAACACTGTTTAGTTTAATAGTTATTATTTAGTTTATCTAGTGATTTAATATTTAATGATTATGTATTTTTCATATCAAGAGTGTTAAAAGTTAATTATTTTAAAAGTAATAGTTAGGATAAGTTTGTTACGTAACTTTGCACGAATCGTACCTTGTGTATGCAGTTTGATTGTTGTATTAGACTTTAATAATATCGTTGACGTCATCTTTCTGGAAGCTTCTAAGTTAAGTAAAGATAGAGGAAAGTTAGTTAGTGAAAGAAAACATGAAGTTAGCCAGCGTGTGAGTGACTACCCCTAAAGGGTGATTTATTTTATGTGTTTCACAGCTGTATTGTAACAACAAAGATAGGAAAATAATTTGTCTTGTCATTTTGGCTCAAAAGTAGCTGAACCAACCTGTGTGGACTTTGACGAAAAGAAGACAATTATTTAAAGTTCAAAATACATTTGTGGTAACCCACGGAGTATCATAAACGAATCTATTGCAAACTGTACAGTAAGAAACGGAATAGAGAAAAATAATTCGTCTTGGCAATTGGATTTTAAAGTACCGTATTTGATGGCATATAGGACGTATGGGTATATAAGACGCAACCCCATTTCAGCAGGTCAGATTCAGGAAAAAAGGTTTTTAGTGTATCTAAGCATATATTGGTGAAAGTAATCTAACAGCACATTACACAAGCAGAAAACACTTGAACATAAACTAAAACACAGTAAGAAAATGGGGATACATTTTGATCATCTTCATAACCAGAAAATTCTTCATCTTCAAAACCAGAAAAATCTTCATCTTCGTCACTACTGCTGGAATCACTGACTCCAAATAACACATTATCTTCTGTGCCATCAAGAGCATTGCTAATGCCACACTTCTTAAAATACTTCACAATGATTTTAGGCCTAACGTCATCCCAAGATTTCTTCACCCACTCACACATATGGGCAATGGTGGGCCGCTTCATTCTTCCTGTGGGTGTGAGGTCATGATGTGGCTCAGTCATCCACTTGGTCCAATGTTCATGCATGTTTTGCTTAAATGATTTATTCACAGACACATCTAAAGGCTGCAATTGGCTTGTCAGTCCACCAGGAATGACAGCTAACTGGGTTTTCAATTCACCCACCTTTTTTTTTAATGGCTGCAGTTCTATGTGCTCTAAACTGATCCCAAACCAGAAGAGAAGGTTTTCCTAATAGTCCACAAGGACGCCTTGACCATACATTTTGTAACCACAGTTTCATTCCATTTTCGTCCATCCAGCCTTTTTGGTGGACATGAACAAATATACTTGTTGGAATTTTATCTTTAGGCTGGGTTTTTCTTTTAAATATCAAAAGAGGTGGCAGTTTTGTGCCGTCAGCACAACAGGTCAGAACTGCTGTATAGTGGGTCTTTTCATGGCCAGTGGTTTTTATTGAGAACGTTTTAGACACTCTGACAGCCACAGTCCTGTTGGATGGTACATCAAATGTGAGTGGAACTTCGTCCATGTTCCCTATTTGGCCCAGTTCAAAACAAGTTTTCTTTCGTGCATTTATAACAAATCTATGAAACTCTAATATTTTGTCTTCATAATCACCAGGCATTTTCTGTGCAATGGATGTTTTTGTACGCATTGATAAACCCTGCCGTTTCATAAACCTATAACACCAACCTTCTGTTCCTGCAAAGTTCTGTATCCCTCGTTGTTTTGCTACTTTCCTGGGCTCATGAATTATCATTTTGGTAGAAACACTTCTCTCTGAATTTCTCTCATTTACCACCCACATTTTTATGTCAACCTAAAGTTCTGGCCAATGTGGGGCTGGGTAACGAAAGTTATGTTTACCTTTCCTTGTGCTCTTCAGTTGATTTTCTTGCTGTCGCCAGACACGTATCATTTTTTCCGTAGGTGGTGGTCCAAAAGCCCTTGCTTCTGCTCTATTGCCATGCTCCTTGGCATAATCTACCACTTGTAATTTGTAGGAGATTGTGTAGCTCGATCTTTTTCCTCCTGCTACCATAACGTTGTTACGTCTCCGTTTGTTAATTGATTTTCCGTAACTTCGTTCCAGACGAAACTTAAGCGACACAAGTTCTTTCTTGATAAAAACTGGTTTATTCTTTCCGAATACAACTTTACCGATACACTCAACTTCAACAATCGCACTAAACAAACGCTATAACGACGAACGTGCTCAATAATATTTCTGACTGCAGATCAGTTACTCACTATCTACGCACACATTACCTTCCCGCGTCACGTTGTCCCCTCTTATATATACCCGTCATCGAGATCATGTGATTCTCACGCTCTCTACTTTCTAGAATTATCCTGTACTTTGGCGAATGTTCTAGTTCTTACTAGATATAGGGTAGGCGCAACACTGCCGCCTCCTTAATTTTGTTCGTCCCGAACAATAACCACATACAATAAACCAATAACAATTAACAATAACTTAATTAACTGTACAGAATTACAAACACAAAATTACAATTCAACAAAGTCTCTTAATTTTACGGGACGTATCTTCTTCCGTACTGGTCTCTGTCTCATTGGCTTCTGCTTCACGTGGGGTTCATCTACTTCATCAGGAAATGTCCTATCATCGGTAACAGTCACATCAGTGGTGGTAACTTCACCAAGAGCTTCACCATTTCCCTTCTCAAAACTGAGTAGAGTTTCTTCTTCGATGGTGGCTTCTTCAGGTGGCATGTCTTCAGCAGCGTCATTTCTTCTGTTTTCTACTTCGTCCCAAGTGAAATGTCCTGGACCGTGATAAT